GGTCTTTTCCAGTAGTGGGGCAATGGATTTGTCTCAGTTTTAGAATTTCAACTCTAAATAGCTAATGTAACAAGGGAGTGGTCATTCTTCTATACATGACTTTTTCACAACAAGAACAAGATTTAGATGGTGGTTTCATGTTGGCTCATCTTGAGAACAATAGAATTTCAACTCTAAATAGCTAATGTAACAAGGGAGTGGTCATTCTTCTATACATGACTTTTGACAACAAAATCAAGGTTCAGATGGTGGTTTCATGTTGTCTCATCTTGAGAACAATAGTGTTAGTCAACATGAGTGGAATTCGAATCAAATCCCACACTCTCTCTCGAGGGCCTGTGAAGTGGAAAGTGAACAAAGTGTATGCAGAGTGCAATAGGAACTCAAAATATCGAATCCTGCAAGTTCCTAAATGTGTCTTTCACTGACCTGCCGCCAGAACTCTGCACAAACATCAATCTCATTTACAACTGCCTTGAAATAAGAATTGCAGCCAAAAGAGGCACTCAACACCCACTGGAAGATTGTCTGAGATCAGTAAGTTTTATCCATAGCAATTTTACGCAATATTGTTTGATTTGAGTCTTTTGCCTGATTGTCACATACAAAGTATATGTGTTTTTTGTCCTGCACATCTTGAAATCTCTTTTAGGTTCTGTTTATGTCACTTAACAGTGATTTATTGTCTACAGCTGGCAAACAGCACAATTATCTGAAATGTAACCAAGCTAAAGCAGTGAGATATATTAAACTAATAACAGTAATCTTTATTGAGCAAACCAATCCTTACATTTATTACAGTGCCTTCACTTCAAGAGGACATTTCAAAGGGCTTCACAAGATTTATTGTAAAATGCAGTGACTGTGTCCATTGTAGGCAAGCGCAGCAGACTTTGAAAGTAAGTGAGGAACCATTTGGTGTCATGTTTGTCAAAGGGTAATCCTATAGGATTTTTAGGAACATACAGGACAATATTTATTTTATGCTTAACACAACCAATCCAGTTCACTTTGAACACATTTCACAAGTTTGCTAGTCCCAAGTGCTTGAAAGTCCTTAAAGCATTTTAAATCCTTATTAATGGGATTCATCAAATACTGCATTTTCAAATTGGATTCCTTAAACAGTATTTTCAATGGCAAGCTATGTGGTTTTAGATGGTAAAATTCTAACAGTACCCCAACACACATTCAGGGGTACCTGACCCTTGTCTCTGGTCAATAATTAATACTTTCCTGAATTAGATGATTAGGGTGAATCCTTCCAGGGAGAGAGTTTGCATTCATTTGCAGACACAGGAAAATTCCCATATGTAGGTGGCAATGATTTGTAAAACTCCAAGTTTGGTTTGGATACAGAGCAACACTCAGCTGCCCAAAGAACACACTTTGTATCAAGCCATTCTATACATAACATTTAATGTTTGATGCTGACAAGAAGTGCTCAAGCTGGAAAGTGTCCAATTCTCCAGTGTCCGCATCCCTCAATTGGACCAAAGTGAAAGTTATTCTGAGAAAGGACATTTCTGTAAATTATGTGACCATCTTTCTCATAGTTATTTTGTCCTTCAGTCTATTTAGGTTCACTTCCCACTATTCATCACTGGGAGGGAGGAAGGCTACCTACTCCTGAACATTTTTCTAAAATTACTCTATATCTGGCCACTCGAAGATGCATCAGAGATAAGATTGAAGGCCCCAATTTACCTCTCCTATTTTGTGAGGAAGCACCTTATTTCTATGTGATACATTCTTGATTGCTGAGATTTATGACGCTAGCAGTGACTACATAATTATTTATGATCAACATTGAAACATCAGATTTAAATTTATCAAAAAGGCATTCTCAACCATCTGCTTCTGTTTTTTGCAACAAGAATTGGAATAACTTTATTGTATTTTTCCCTGATGTCAGGAACTTGGATGCAATATAATTTTTTATGGATCTAATGAATTTCTGATGCTCTAATATACATTTGATTTCTTATCATCAATCAGTTCATTACATGTGCCAACCTGTGTGCAGCACGTCTGCCCAATATTCATGAAAAGAACAGACCTCCCTTTACATCGTCATCTCAACAAAGCAACAGCTAAACTAATTCTTTGTTGAATTTTCAAGAATGCTAGCAGTTGCACACTATGAGCACAACTTTGTATTTGTTGCCAAGATGATCATCATACATGGGAATTGCAATGATTCTTGGCTTCTATAACTCTCAATCTGAACTAATAACCCAGTGAAGAGGAATATTCCAAGCAGATGCTCTGATGTATCACAGTGATTATTAAATGGCCATTAAGTATGCTAAGAATACTTCACAGATTCATTAATTTTTCAGCTGGTCATAAAACTTTCAATGAGTGAAGTTGGGAAAAGTACAACTTTGTGTTTGAGGTCTATAATATTGGAGATGACTATATTTTCAGGATCTGCTATGTAAGTAAAGGAACCTTAAAGCAACAGAATTGGATTATATTCTGGCTTTACATAAATAACTTCTGAACACATAAGAATTCCCCCAAACAGTCCCAATTTGATGGATTTCTAATTAATATAAAAATAATCCTCGTATTTGATCATTGCATTTGATATCGCGCCTTATCACGTCTTTGAGACATCTCAAAGCGCTTCACAGAATATATGGTAAAGTGAATTAACTGTACATTTTGTGGGCAAAACACAGCAGCCAGTTGGGCACAGAAGTGTCCCACAAACAACAACAACAACAAGATTCCACTTATTGAGCGCCTTTCACGTCGGGAGGACGTCCCAAGGCGCTGTACAGTTGGGTCAGGACCCGAGCAGGGGCAAACATGACAAACAGTCATGAATTGAGTGACCAAATTATTATTATTTTTATTTAAATTTTTTTGAAGCGATTATTATCCCCGGAAAAGCGATCTGCCATTCGACTAACAGCTGGGTTCCTTCTTACAATTAAGTAAACAGAGGCATATGGAGTAAGGAAACTTGTCCAGTGTTTCGCCCTGCCGGGAATTGAATCCAAGTCCTCTCACTTGCGAGGTGAGTGTTCTAACCACTGAGCTACAGGACTCCACAGCTTAATCAGCGGCATCAGCGGACTTAATCAGCAGCTTAAAGAGTGAATTAAAAGCTTTAACAAATTTATTTACGCCACCCTCGTCATATTACCTTACGCTTAACTTCAAAATAATCCCAGCGAGCTGGGATCCCATTGAATAAATTTTGTTACTTATCACAGCCTGAACATTAGTAGCTCAGTCCACATGTTGCTCCTGGTATTTGCATCATGAAAAGCTGCTGGGATATTAAATACAGTTTATCTGTCACCGGAGGTTTTAAAAACAACCAAGGCATTGTGAGCAAATGATGCAGGTAGGAGCATCTTTAACATATGCCTCCATACGGCAAAGTTTAATCATCTTACCCTGCTAGAGTGGGAAATTTATTGGCAGCTAGAGACAACATAATGTCGCATTGTACAATTTAGTCAGCTTCTGTTGTTGGCTGATAGGAGCATCTTATTCTGGTGCAGGGAAAGGCAGTAGCTGGAGACAGCAATAGCATGTGAAACATTTTGGTGACTTTACTTTCTACAGCTTATAGAACTTGAATGAAACACGTGAAACATCTGCCAATGAGTGCATCACAAATTTATCCAAGATCTATGAATGTGAATATGCAAAGCTGACAATTTTCACTTGCTGCACTTAACACTGTTTTCATTAGAAGACAAGCGAGAAGTCAAGCAGCTCTGTTTAATAATACTACCTTCCTCTTGTCTGAAAAAAACATCAACAATTCCTGCACATGAAGGTGTCCATGTCAGAATGTTAAGTTAATCTTTGTGTGCACATGCTGCAAAAAGAATAAGCTGACAGTATGTAAGAGTTGGTTAGTTTTCTTGCACTATAGATACATGTAGCAATATTAAAGGAGTATAGGGTATACGTCATTAACCTGTTCATTGTGTTAATTAATGCTCACTTAAAGTACGAAATGGTTTGAAATTTGTGATTAAAAGTTGACGTGAATTTTCACCAGTAGTAAAATTAGTCATTATAATCTGCTCTGTTTCCTATGGCATCTGTCCCCACCTAGCAACCCCCACCCCCCACCCCCCCACCCCACCCCATAATCTCTCAACTTTCAGCAAATTGTGGTTACAAAATTACAGGAAACAATTATTACATTGTCAACTTTTGATGAACAGAATTTTAAATCGTAAAATGTACTTTTATAATCAGGATCATCTCAAACTCTACTATTGTCAGTGGAGGGGAATTTTCTTGACATAGTGTCAGACCTGAAGGACCCCAAGCGTTGGCTCTTGCCAACCTGGGTCTAATACTTTCCGGAATTAGGTAAGCAAGATGCGTCCCTCCAGGGAGAGAGTGTCCATACCATTCAACAATCTATCTCTGGGGTTTCCATGTTTAGGTGGGATGCAAGGAAATCTCAGTTTGGTTTGGATACTCTTAAGCATGGTGATGCATTTCCACATGTGTCAGACACTCGGCTGACCAAACAAAAGATGCCAAACTGATAAAATGTCCTTAGTTTCCAACTGAATAGAAGTGAACTCAATTAAGAATATTTAGATATTTTCACAGTTGTGGTATGTTATACTGGATTAAACTACAATGATAAGGAGCTGGACTTCTTTACAAATAGAACGGATTGAAGAAAATTAAAGTCTTGATATGTAAAAATCATCAAAATGAAATTCAGGGGCAGTAAAGTACTTTGTCTGCAATCCCTTTCAAATTGAGTATAGTGTGAAAGATGATCAAATCCAACTTTATGTTGTCCAATTTACCGAGTTTTGTAATACTGAGCACACATTCATTTGTTGCTGCTAAATACAATGCGTAGATTATGTGGACATGGGAAACATATGGATCACATTATGGAGCTCACAATGCAGAACTCCCGAATGTATCTGTCAGTGTTGGTTATCATTCCTCAGTTCTTAATTGGGATAGAAAGGTAATTTTCTTTCAAAGCAACTTACTTGGTGTCACTTGCAGAAGAATGTCATTAGGTGAAGTTATGGAATATCAAATAGACTGGGAAAAGGAATAACCTCCAACTGATTCAGAATGCCTAGAGATAGAGTGGAAAAAAAGGAAATTATAAAAACATATGCAAGTAATATACATTCATAATATTTTGTTGTGTGGCCTATCAATCAATAAACTTTCACAATCTGGAGAGTCTTGTTTTAGTTGCTAAAGTTCAGCTAGTTTTCTAAATGACATTGCCAACTGTTGTAGCACCCAAACATAATGATAGAAATGTCCCAGGTGACAAGATACTATAATTTAAATGGCTGCCAGCCTTTTAAATGTCTCTTCTAACCTACCAAAAAATATGAATTGATCCAATTTACTAGTGATCTTGCACCAGAAGAAGGTGCCTCAGTGTTTAGCTCAAGATTGCTGCCAAATTGTGGTAATTGTGGGCAAGGAATACATCTGATTCGCAACAGCACGCACAAGGAATTTGCAGAAAATATGTGGCAGTAATAAGTCTATTGCTACTTATATTACTATTCACCTACATGTACATAATGACTGCACTTTACAGTAAAATCCTATGAATAGCTTTGAGACATTTTGACAACATGATATACCACTATATTAAATGCAAGGTTTATTATTAATTCCTCAATAATAATCCTTGCATTTGATATAGCGCTTTTCACGTCGGGAGGACGTCCCAAAGTGCTTCACAGAACATACTGCAAAGTGAATTGACTGTATATTTGTGGGCGAACGCGGCAGCCAATTGTGCACAGCAATGTCCCACAAACAGTCGTAGATTGAAAATGACCAATTTATTATTGTTTTTGGTTTTTGGAGGGATTATTATTAGGCGTGTGGAGTAAGGAAACTTGCCCAAGGTTTCGCCCTGCCTGGAATTGAACTCACGTCTCTCACTTGCAAAGCGAGTGCTCTAACCACTGAGCTACAGGACTCCACAAATGAAATTATAACAGAGATAAAATAGAAATGTTAAGATAAAAGAGGGTGATATTCTTCTGATACTTAGAAACAAAGAATATGTTTCACATGTATTCTGGTATTTTAATGACATTACATTAGTGTCTGAAACTCCAGAGTAATGAGTGAGCCTAGTATGACGGAATACCATTCAAGTTATTTTTTATCCACAAAATAAAAATGCAGATATTTTGGGGAGGGATTTATCGTCTATCATTTGTGTCAAAAAAATTAATAATATTGAGGATCAATATTTGACCTAAAAATTTGTGGGGAAATTTGATGAAAATCTGTACAAATCTGCCACCGATCATGCTCATGCTGAGGGTTGTCAGAGAACACCACAAGGTTTTTCACTGCACAACTCCAAACAGCTCCTTTATTTTCATATTACAAGCAATAATTATGATCGATTTAAGCCACACACTGAAGCACCAAGAATGATTCCTGAAGCACGTGCAGGTTTCGGGATCAGAAGTCATCTGCTAACATGTGATTGCATGTCAGTTGACTGCACTGAGATATATACAAATCCCAGTAGCTGAAAAATTATCAGAGGATTTTTTCGAGATTGATAATGAACAGACACCCAAAAAAGCAAAAATGAAAAAATACAATACAAATTACATTTATACGACACCTTTCATTTCAGAAGGACATCTCAAAGTGCTCGACACTGCTGACTAAGCACTTGAGCTAGGGAGGGGAAGGATGAGAGGAAAAAACAAGGTCAAACAGATACACCTTGAACAGAAAGTAAAGGAAGTTTTCTTCCACCAAAGTGGTGAAAAAGGGATATCATAACATTTCTGAGAAATAAATGTTCTTGTGTTATTAACTGATGAAGTAAACATGTGAACAAAATACTGCAGATGCTGGAAATCTTAAACAAAAACAGAAGTCGCTGGGAATACTCAGCAGGTCAGGCAGAAAGGAAAGTGAGTCAACATTTCGGGTCCACGACTCTTCGTTAGAACAGATGAAGGGTCGTGGACCCAAAACGTTGACTCACTTTCCTTTTTCCATAGATGCTGCCTGACCTGCTGAGTGTTCCCAGTGACTTCTGTTTTTGAAGTAAATATGTGAAGTTGTAGGTACACTAGACGGACTAATAGTTTACTCAAGCCTGAAACTATACTCTGGATTTTGATTTATATTTCAACATGAATTATATTTAAGCTCTAAAATAGACCTTTGCAAGTTCATTCAAGAGCTGCTGACCCAATTCAATGTGAGTGTCAGTGAATAAGATGAGAGGTATTTTTCATACACGCAAATGGTAATAGAAAGCCCAAACACAGGGCTTTCTATTGCCATTTGTGTGTATGAAAAATATTTCAGCAAAATGGTTTTATATAAGAGAAATGGCTACTCCACCTTATTCACAGGATATTGAACCGGCATAGGCTCAAATATTATCTCGGTTAAGTGGCAATCAAGTTGGAGGAAACTTGATTTGTTTCTGCCAAATTGGGGGACGGCCACTATTCAAAAGGTATTCGGAGTTTATTTCATAACACATTGAATCTCATTTCTAAAAGAAGAAGAATGTGTGGCGGTGTACGCGTTTGGCGTGCCTGACCTGAGCCAGCCCCTTCCAAATGCCCCCGCTCCTACACCCCAACTTTCATTACTCCCACTCAGTCCTTCTCTCCTCCCGCACTCCCCGTCTTCTCTCCCTCCTGAACTCTCGCACAGTCTCCCTCTGCTCAGCCTGGGCATCCTCCACCGGGCTCACCAGAGCACTCGGCGAGGGTTGTCCCAGAGCAGCCACCCCAGCTGCCACATCACTCTACCTCTTGTCAAGGAAGCTATGTAAATGCAAGTTGTCGTTGATGTAGTTATATTTCATTTCATGATTATTTTAAGAATTGCTTCCATTTATCCGTATTTTGTTTACTAGATACCATCATTTTACTTGTTTTTAGTACTTCCATTTGCACTGAAAATACTTTTGCGCTTCAGTTCCTTCCATGTAGCAGATCTGTTCAGTTAATGCCTTGCCTGTTCTGAAGAGTGCAGCAGGTAATCTCAGAAATTCACTTTAAATGCAAAGGTAAATAGCTCTAAGTGACATTGTTCAATTATACAACTCAGAGCGCTAATTATTAGGATTTGGTCAAATGGCTGGGTGCCTTAAAGCTTAGTGCGATCTTTTATTGTGTTTTTATGCAAGATGAAGCAACAAAGTTACATTTGTATAGTACATGCAAGGCATTGGTTCCAAGTTCACTTTTAATGCAATATTGTGAAGAAGTATCAGCTAAGATCTTCCCAGGTTGAAAGTACTGGAAGAACCATCATAACAAGTTTAGTATAATACAGTAATTTAGTGACAGAATTCAGAGTGGAATTGATAAAAAACTGCTTGGGTGCGCATAGTATGTGCTGCAGAAATACTTAAAGGAAAGCATGAGTAAAGGAGACTATTTTAAACAATTAAATTAATTCATAGATGATATTTCCTCCTTGCCTCGTTTTTGACTCTTCAAATTATTCAAATCTGTTTGCATCTTCTCACAATAGCGCAACTGAGATCAGCAGCTCCCAGATGATGCAAGTGGGCATTTAGCCAAACCCACCACTGCATTCTGTCTATAAAACACTGTGTCATTGAGCCATTCCAGATTCTTTTTTGACCACTTTTATTGCTAATAATTCATAGCTGGTTGCAATCTTCTTTGACTTTCCATACCGCTTTGTTACTTCATTTGCTTATCACTTAGATACATATTGCAGCCAATAAAACCTAAGATGTACAGATCTCAGCATGTTACTATGGGTGAGAAGTCCAATAAAAAAAACTGCTTAATATACAGTTTTAAAATTAAATGACATATTGGGATTTATTAGATTTTTAAAGCTGAACAATTAATGATTGCAAAATTATCCCCTCTTCAGAACATTTCCAAATGAATCATTGTGTTTTCACAAGCTTTTATGCTTCCAGGAAAATTATTCTATTCATGTGTATATAAGTATACAAAAGATTTGAGCATATTCAGATTTTGCTCAAGGGACACAACATTAGAGGTAATTAATGATTCTCATCTCTTTCTGATTTATTTAATGCCTTCTTTTTTCTGAAATTCATGAGTTTAGATCTTTCTGAGATGTTCTTGTGATGCTTATTGCGTAGAGATTACCTTTTTAGAGCTACAATATTTTCATATGCTTTATTGTCAGAACCCTTTATTCAGACAATAACTTTGATAATTAAGCACGTCTCTTAAATATACTTAGTTCTAATGCAGTTGATTGATGATGATCAAGCTAGAACAACAGTAGATATTTAAGACCTGCTAAAGGTCTTAAGCTAAAGAAATGTTTGAAATAGATTATGATTAGTGCTTGTAAAATCTTCCAATTATCTTAAGCATGCAGAGCCAAACAAACCAATTCATAGATTTATCAGTATATTGCTAATGATATGTAGGTCAAACATACATATCTACAGAAAAAAACATACCTAACATTAATTGGGTAGGACATTTTTGAAATACAATATAATTTATATTGATATAGTGCCTTTCATGTCCTCATGGGAGGATGTCCCAAAGCACATTCCCAGTGCTGGATGAGCACCCGAGCTGGGGGTGTGAGTTGAGGGGAATGGGGAGAGGAAAGATATCTGAACGTACAGTCAATGAGGTATGTTTTGAGATGCATCTTGAAAGAGAGCAGAGTGAAAAATGGCTACCAACTAAGCCAGGCAGACACTATTTGAATTACACAGCATGCATCCCAATATTTGACTTTAACATCTGTATGAACTTTAGAATAAAAAAAAGTAGATTGTTGGTTCAAGGACCTCATGGAAAGAACTGAGGCAAAGGAGCACACCAATTAATTAAGGCAGAACCGGTCAGCTGATTTAACATCTGGTCATTAGTAAATTCCGACTTCAAAAGGGAATAATTTGCATAATGGTTTGTGTGTTTTACGGAATGCAGATATTTATGGCACTCATACAACAAACAAATGTTATCTAAACCAAACAAGAGCAAAAATCATCTGCTGTCACACAATAGAATATGATATGTTGTATTGCTTAGGTCAGATCATTGCTAAGACCTAGTCAGTTATTTTGAGAATAATAGT